CCTTCCTAAAGGGTACGTGAGGGGTGTGTGAGTCCGTCTGAGTGGTGGGACAGAGCTGAAACTCAAGCGCTTCAGTCCCAGGTGGGGGCCCTGTAATCTTCAAAGTAGGAATAAGAGATCCTCCGGAAAAGGGCTTTATTCTGGAGGATCGCGCCAGTCTAGACGCTTCTTTTCCGGCTTTTCCCCAAGCCGGAAAAAAAGCGGCGGACATGTTTATTTAAATCCGCGGGGGATATTTAAATCCCCCGCGGATTTCCCTATCCGGCTTACCTGATTTGCATCCCTTTTCCGGAAATTGTGGCCAGTGTAGACGTAGCCCATTAGAAGGGGCTCAGATCCATGCCAGGAAATACACAGTGAAGACAGGGGACTGTGCATCCTGGAGAAAACCTGGTGAGAAGGGACTGAAGGACGTGGGTTCCAGTCCAGGAGCCTGAGATTGGTTGCCCTTGTTGGGCTGCTATGGGGAAACAGAGCGAATTATGATTCTCACTGTTCTGTTCAACTGCACTTCTAACAGGTACAGACATTACTATGTTGCTGAAAAGGGCTGTTCTGGGGGGTTGGCTGCTGGGACTATGTGCAAGAGTGTGACTGGGGAAGCCGAGCTAGCTCTGTATTCCTCCCTCACAGCAGCCATGGTAATGTTGTTGCTGCTGTTTTGGCCATAATATAAGCCAGGTTTTTTTTTTTTTTTTAGGTTTTGCATTCAGTAATGACATTGGCAGGCTGCTAGTGAAACAGTGAATTTCAAAACTCAGCCAAACCTCAACCGAATTTCCTGGGACACATAAAAGGCATTTCTAGCTCAGGGGCTCCCTCTGGTGACGTTCAAAGATATCCTGCCAACAGTTGAGGTGTGGGCATGGCTAAACATATTTAATAAAATCAGATAAGCCAAACATAGGAGTCACTACCAGCTGCCCATTAAATGGGCATAAAGAATTGTGAAACTGAGGTTCTGTAAGGGTGTGTCTATACAGCAAAGTTATTTCAGAATAATGGCTGCTATTCCGAAATAACTATGCAAATGTCTACACAGCAATTCTGTTATTTCAGAATAATTTCAAATAACAAGCGGCTTATTCCAATGTCTGTAAATCTCATTCTGTGAAGAATAATGCCTGTTCTGAAATTGCTATTGTGAAATAGCCCTTCATCAGGGCCATTCTAAGTAACTCCTCCTGGGGCTCTAAATCGAGATAGCATGTCTACATTAGGGAAGCCTGCCTCGGACTAATTTTGAGGCTTCCCTCAAAATGTTGAGGCTTCCCTGCAGTATAGACCTGATATTTCAAAATAAACTATTTCAGAATAACTATTCTGGAATAGCTTATTCCGAAATAACTGCAGAGTAGACGTAGTCTAAGAGAGATTTACATTAAAGAGATGAACCTCATAGCATGTTCATGGCTCTGAAAGTATTTTTAGTTCTATTCCTCATTTTGGGTCTCTTTCACATATTGGTTTTGTGCACACAGATGGCAAAAAATGTCAGCTCACATATTTTAACTGGCATGATGCTAAATAGGATTTTTGCCCATAGGCTGGTCAAGGCGAACCATGTTTCACTAGGGGTGGCTGGTTGACCCACCTATTAAACAGGGCAATTTCCCCAAAACAGCCAAACTGTTACAAACCTTTTATTTTTTTTCCCCTGGAATGATCTCACAGTCCAACTGGCTGCAAATTAATTTTATTCTATGATTAAGCAGTTATTCTCTGGTCCCTTTTACTCTGGGACCAGATCATTATGGGTGCCAATCATTATGGGTGCCTGTACACAGCACCCGGAAGTTGAAATAAGGCAATTGGCGCTACGTAACTTGACTACCTTATTTCGAGTGTATTTCAAAATAGCTTATTTTGAAATAAGGTGCATCTATTCAGCACCAAATTTCAAAATAATGAATTTTGAGACATACCTTAACCCTTTTGAGACATACCTTAACCTCGGGGAATGAGGGTTACAGGGATGCCGAAATAGTTCGCCCATTATTTCAAAATAACAGGTGGCTTGTTGCGACGTGGGGTAGCTTTTTTGAGATACATCCAGTTTCCCAAAATAGCTACACTGTATAGATATATTCAATGAATATGTCTACACTACAGAGGAAGGTCGAAGCTGTCACTGTTGATCTTCCAGTGTTCAAATTAGCATGTCTATTTAAGACAACTAATTTGAACTAAGAGGGGTTCCTTCCGGTTGATGCTGGTAGTTGTGCTTTCATGAGGAGTAAAAAAAAGTTGAAAGAAGAGCGTTCTTTCAACTTACTGCAGTATAGACAGTGTCAAAAGTATAGTTAAGGTACTTGAACTTCAGATATGCAATTAACATAGCTGAAGTTGTGTATCTTAATTTGACTTTGTCCCTTAGTGTAGACATACCCTGCATGTTTTGCTCCTTACAAAGCCAAAACAATATGAAGAAACAACATTGGCTCCAAATATTCCACATAAACAAAGTTATTCCAAATAAATGATTTTTCTATGTATATACACAATCATGCAATTCAGAGTATGTCTATGCTAGCACCCTAGTTCGAACTAGGGTGGATAACGTAGTCATTCGAACTTGCAAATGAAGACCAGGATTAAAATATCCCGGGCTTTATTTGCATGTTCCCGGGCGCCGCCATTTTTAAATGCCCGGTAGTTCGGACTCCCTGCCTCTGACTACACGTGGCACGGGCTAGGTAGTTCGAACTAAAGCCCCTAATTTGGACTAATTAGGTGCTTTAGATCAAACTACCTAGCCCGTGCCGAGTGTAGCCATAGTGTAGACATACCGTCAGAGATTAAGGTGAACACCAACAGAGAGCTCATAGACTATTTAAAGGGCCCCCACTCTATTTCAATAAACCACACAAATGCTAAATAAAAAGATTTTGTTTTTGAAAGGCTTTTGGTCAGCATCACTGGCCAGTTTCCTGAATGGAAGATCAAGCAAGTGTCCAATCTGAGCGATCACTCAAGGGTGTTAAGTGGATGGTACAACCCAGATTAGTTTATAGTCAGACCCCTGCCTAGAAGTTGAAGACTCATGAGATTCTACCCTGAGACAGATAATGGTGAGAGGCCACAAGGTGGGTCCTCTCAGAGGGACTAGAAAGGGATTAGAGGTACAGGTGCCTTGTAGCTATGACAGTAAATCTTGTGTGCTTGTGTAGAGAGCTGGGAACTCATTAGTTTGAGCTAAGTAGGCAAATGAGGACAACCGCGGTTGCAAATGAAGCCCAGGATTTAAATATCCCGGGCTTCATTTGCATCTTCCTGGGCACCGCCATTTTTAAATCCCCTTTAGTTCGAACTCCGTGCCTGCGGCTACACGTGGCATGGAGTAGGTAGTTAGAATTAGGATCTCTAATTCGAACTACCGGTACACCTCGTTCTACAGAAAAATCAGCTGGGGGCTGGAGACTGTGGGGAGGTGGTGAGGGGGGGAGTGCCAGCATGGGCTCCCCATTGCTGGGGAAGGCTCTAAGCCTTGAGGACCAGATCCAGGCAACCCAGGGGCCACATACACCCCCCCAGGAGTCACAATGGGGCTGCACAGGCCAGTCACAAACCCTTTGTCTATGTGTGGTGATGACATGTTTGACATAAAAATGAATGTGTGATGGATGAATGTGAATGGGTTGAATGTTTTTCTTTATTAATAGCCACCCAGCATCTCCCTCAGTGACAGTTATTCTCAGATTTTCTAAGGAGCTCTTCACACTGGGTAAATGGCAGTTGATCTCCTGAAAATCTGGAAATCCTAATAATTCTGGAACTTCTCTTGAAGATCTGCAACATGAACACCTTTTTCTTCACAGCCAATTCAAATAATATTTGTCAGCAGTCACAAGATCATTTGAAAGCAAGTAATTAAGTACAGTGTAAAAATTACAGTTCAAATTTTATTGGAGAGAAACTTCATGACATAGGTTCAAAATTAGAAAATAAAGTAACAGTGTGGGCTTACAGATGGCACCACAGATGATATAGACACAAAATGTGATTCAGATTGTGACCGGTGGTGCATAGGGCAGCCTTCAATGAAAATTACAAGTTCAGGACAGGTTGCAAAATGGAGACCAAAACTCCCAACGCTGGTGGGTAACATGGAAATTAGACTCCTCAAGCAGTCACAAACTGTGCTTCCAGACTCTCACACTGGTTATCAAGAAGCCAAAAAAAGAAATCACACAGCCCCCATATAGCCTTCCAGTTCTCTGGCTCCAAGTCAGTACCTAGGTCCAGAGCAGTGAGATGAGATTTTAAACTCTGCTCACATTCACAAAATGTTCTTTTGACCATTGCCGGGTCATACTACATGGATCTTACCAAAATACAACAGGGCCAGCTAATTCCTTAGGGTACATCTACACAGCAGTGTTATTTCAGAGGAGCTGATGTTATTTGGAAATAACATTGTGTGCATCTACACTGCAAGCTTTTATTTTGACATAATGTTGAGCTGCAGTCCCCAATTCTAATGCCTTGCCTCAGAGGCAAGCTGCAGTCTATAAAAGCCATGCTTCATGTTAGCCAGATGCTGTGCAACGGGGTTTGGGAGGATCCAGGCCCATGCACTACTCTGGGTCCCTCTGGCCTGCTTTTAACCCTTCTCTTGCCAGGATGGGGCAGCCACCCCACTACAAAGTAAGAAGCTTCAGTGGGTAGCCGAGTTAGTCTGTACAGGATAAACATAAAAAACAACAAATGGTCTGGTACTATTTTAGGGTATGTCTACAATAGCTCATTAGTTCGAGCTAGGTAGGCAAATGAGGACAACCGGGGTTGCAAATGAAGCCCAGGATTTAAATATCCCAGGCTTTATTTGCATCTTCCTGGGTACCACCATTTTTAAATCCCCCTTAGTTCGAACACCGTGCCCCCAGCTACATGTGGCATGGAGTAGGTAGTTAGAATTAGGATCTCTAATTCGAACTACCGGTACACCTCGTTCTACAGAAAAATCAGCTGGGGGCTGGAGACTGTTGTGGTGGTGGGGGGTGGAGTGCCAGCATGGGCTCCCCATTGCTGGGGAAGGCTCTAAGCCTTGAGGACCAGATCCAGGCAACCCAGGGGCCACATAAAGCCCCCAGGAGTTAGGTTCCCCATCCCTGTCTTAAAGTATCCCCCAAATTCCATACAGTGTCACACAGATTAATTGGTGAGAAATTGGATTTCAAAGATGGACTGAGAAATGAGTGTCAGTTCCATGTTACAGTCATTCGTCTTCTCTTAAAGAACAAATTCTCAGTGTTGTTTCTTTCAGTGAATTTTTAAAGAATGGACAAACCTCTCCTGTGAAACTGCAATCACTAAATGTGAACAACACAGAGGCGTCAGTTCCATTGTAAAAGGTCACCTGACTGTCTTTGCAACTAAGGTAAACTCCAATTTTCTTGGGCTTTTTCTGCACCATGACCCGGGTCCATGGGTCTGTTTTTGCCCAATAATCTCTCCCACTGAAACCCAGAACCCAGAATCCCTCTTTAGGGGACAGGGACAGTTTCCCTTTTCTCTCTATGGATTTTCTGGCCACTCCCAGGTCCCATTCAGTGCTGCTCCCGACATCCACCTCCCAGTAGTGCTTCCCAGAGAATCCTTCAGAGCCCAGCACACAGACAGTTGAGTCGAACCTCTCTGAGTTTGGTGGAACATTTTGAGGTTGGGATTTATGTTTCAAACTCTTCTTTTTCCCATCAACAGAGAGGTTGGGGTGGGCTGTGTCTGGATTAAAGGTGATGTTTTCTGCAAAAAGAAAATTTAACAAATTCTTATCTAATGGCAGCATAAGCTGATAACATGGGAGATAAGGCTTGCGGGTCAGTTCCTGCTGTCCTTACCCAGGCAAAATGCCAACTGATATTGGGGTTTGTTCTGTTCTGATAGTTTGGTTACCCTGAAATATTTCATGTATGTGATATTTGATTAAATTTCATGCAGAATTGGGAGGGATCTTGAAATTTTTTTTTTACTGATACTCATATATATTGCACCAGATTTGGAACCTAGCTACCCAGGCTTAAAGAATAGAACAAATAAGGCCTGATAGGAAATGGAATAAAGCCCCAATTGTTATCTATAGTAATATGTTCTGTTTCTAGGTTTTGTAAAGTATGAAGATGGTTTCTGATTACAGGAAGAGATATGTATTCTGTTACCTGCATAGCGATGAGTCCTTCTCCACCCTGAAATCAAAGTGAGAAACAACAGACATTTGGTCTTGGATTGCGCACATTAAACCCTGCGAATCTGAGGCTCAGGGTGGGTGAGGTAATATCAGATGTTGGACCAGATTCTCTACCTCATCTCTCTAATATCCTGGGCCAACATGGCCCCAATTACACTGCACATAGCGAAGAAGTTGGACATAGCACAATGTGATTTACTTGTGCACAAAAGAGGAAAGTAAAGCAGCACACTAATGACTCACACACACACTGCAGTTATTGTACTGTTTGGGGACTTATTTGTGCCACTCATGGATTCTCCAGGTCTGTTCAATCATTCACTTATTCCTCAGCCTCAGACAGAGATGGCAGATCACCTGACATTGTGTGTGGTAGTACTGGCAATGCGTGGAGCAGAATACTCTCTACTAGGGATGTTAAGGACTAGTTGACTAGTCTATCAGGGTATGTCTACACTACCCCCTAGTTCGAACTAGGGGGGTAATGTAGTCATTCGGAGTTGCAAATGAAGCCCGGGATTTGAATTTCCCGGGCTTCATTTGCATGAGCCCGGCCGGCGCCATTTTTAAATGCCAGCTAGGTCAAACCCCGTGCCGCGCGGCTACACGCGACACGGACTAGCTAGTTCGGATTAGGCTTCCTGTACGCCTACTCTGAACGAGTTGTACAGCTAGTTCGGAAAACTAGCTAGTCTGTGCCGCGTGTAGCCGCGCGGCACGGAGTCCGAACTAGCCGGCATTTAAAAATGGCGCCGGCTGGCATCATGCAAATGAAGCCCGGGAAATTCAAATCCCGGGCTTCATTTGCAACTCCAAATGACTACATTACCCCCCTAGTTCAAACTAGGGGGGTAGTGTAGACATACCCCCCGATAGAGGCAACAAGAGGGGAAGAAGAGAGGGGAACTTCAAAGCAGCAGCACGCACAACTGATCCTGGGCCCAGCTGATCCCAGGTTCCACATGGCATTTCAAAGTGGCAGAGCTGCGTGGAGTCTCAGATCAGCTGGGGACTCCAGCCAGTTTGAAATGCCACTTTGAAATGATGAGGGGAGCACCCCAGGTTCCGTGTGGCATGCAGGCTTTGAAATGTACAAGAGTGCCCAGTGGGGTCTCTTGTGCATTTCAAAGCAAAAGTACCCAAGTGGAGCCCAGAGTCAGCAAGACTTCCTGCCATCCCCGGGCTGCATGCAGCATTTCAATGTTGAAATGCACAAGAGCCCCCACTGGGGCTCTTGTACATTTCAAAGGAGGAATGCAGAAGTGCTTGTCGACTAACTGAGCAGTCGATGGAAATTCCATCAACTGGTATATTAATCACTAGTTAACATCCCTACTCTCATCTCTTTTATAATAGGGAAACCAGCAGCATCAGGTAGAAAGTGGGTTGCAGCAGCAAGTGAAATAGGAGATGAATACAAGAAGAAGACCTGTTGCCTTCAAATAATCTAGGGTATATCTACACAGAAGTATTGTTTTGGAATAATGAAGGTTAATAACACAGTGTGAGTCTACACAGCAAGTCTTTATTCTGAAATAATGTTGAGCTGGAGGACTTCTTACTGTGACTCCTGTAACCCTCATTTTGTGAGGAGTAAGGGAAGTCAAAGAAAGAGTATTCATGCTTTGATTTCCTGTGGAGACAGTCTCAACAGCCAAATTAAGCTATTTCAACTTCAGCTACACAATTGCTATAGCTAAAGTTTCATAGCTTAGCTTTTGCCTTGTTGAGTAGACAGACCCCTAAAGGGAAAAGTGTGTAAAGATGGACAAGTTAGAAAAAAATATTATTGCACAAAGAAAACCAAGGTAATCAGATGCTTGTGTAATAACATTATATCTGTATTTACTGATATTTTCAGCTGAGTGACAGCTTTTAATTGACTCAGACCTGCCAGCTCAGTGGGATTTCATGTGATCTCTGATTTGCCTAGACTATGGGATTTCCCCATAAATTATAGGTTTTAGGTGTTTTTAATGAGTTAATCTCACTCTAATTCCTTTGGTTTACAACTAATCAGAGCTGCTCCATTTACGGAGGCTATGTCTAGACTGCAGATTCCTGGAAACTTTCCAAAAGAGATCTTCTGGAAAAACTTTTGAAAGAGAGCATCTACACAACAAAAAAGCGATGTGCTTTTTCAAAAGATAGTGTCCTCATTCATTGTACGCAATCTCGCATTTACGTTCTGATTGCTGTGGACAGAGTGGCCATCAAGGCACTTGTGCTTTTTCCATGGAGGCCTCTTCTTTTGAAAAAAAAATCCTCTTCCCCATCCACATATGCCTTTTTCTGAATGAGCTCTTTTGGAAAAAGGCTTCTTCCTTGTAGAAAGAGGTTTACCACTGTTGGAAAAACCCCTGCATTTTTTCGACTTTCTGTCGAAAGAATGCAATTGAAGTGCGTACATTAGTGTCTTTTTTTCAGAAAAATGGTTCTTTTTCCTGAAAAACTCTACAATGTAGACATACCCTGAGAGAGTGTCTTTCCTAAGTAAATGGAGAAGGTTTTTCCCTTCCCAACTCCTTGTATCAAAAAGGTGGGAAAGCTCTTGAAGTCCTCAGGCTTTTCATCACTGTGCTGCTAGGAAGGCACCAATCCATTTTGACTCTGCTCCTTCTCTCTCCTCTCTACCTCCGTTATCTCTAGCCCCTTAGGTCAAGAGTAGTAGCCCACAAAGATAAGGAGGAGCATGGAGGCCTGTCCAGTGGGACAGGCTTTGGAGGGGCTCCCATTCCCTCGAAGCCTGGCAGAAGCATACAATTCTGGCAAAAGAATACAATTCAGGGGGTGGGTAAGAGGGTCATGGTAGAATAGACAATTGACACATATATCAAACAATCAGGCAGTATGATAAATGTTTAATACTTTCAGTGAGGGACTCTCATACACATTCTTTCTCTCAAAGTATGTGATTCTACTGCCGTGATTGATGTCAATGGCAAATTCCAAATCACCTCATTGGAGACCTATTGTCAGGACCTAACTCCCTATATATTCAAATACATATAAGGACTTATTTGTGATTAAATGTATCCCAGGACAGTGAACAAGCGCACAAGATATTTACGTGTGCCCTGTTTTGTAGGGGTATGAGGGATGTAAGACACACATAGCCCAGGGAAGATTCTCACCATTAAAGCAGGACTAGGTCTATATCATACAGCTGTCTGTCCTAGCAGATTTTATCAGAATAATATTCTGCTAACTACAACAATCCTTTAGTTCCCTTATTTCTAACTGTGAGAACTTCATTTCTATTTGTATCTCCTTTCCAACATGACATTGACTTGACTTTTATATTAAAAGAATCAACACACACTTACTCAGTTCTACTTGGAGTTGACCTGAAAAGAAAAAAAAAAAATTTTAATTCAAACAATTTGTGTCCTTGATTGAACAGGAAGCAAAGGACTTAAATTGCAGCAAAGGAGGCTTAGGTTGGACATTAGGAAAAAGTTCATGTCAGGGTGGTTAAATACTGGAATAAACTGCCTAGAGAGGTTGTGGAATCTCCATCATTGGAGATAATTAATAGTGTGTTAGACAAACACCTGTCGGGGTAGTCTAGTTTCTGAAAGTGTTCCACGGACCGACCCGGTCTGTTTATTTACTGGCGCCGTGGCCATCGAGCCTCACAGCTCCCATGGGCTCTGTTTCACTCTTTGCAGCCAAGTATAGCAGTGGGAAGCAATGGCTGGGCCCACACTGCTTCCTGTGGCTGCACTTGAGAAGCATAAGGATCTTGCAAAAAATTGAGGTTTTGTGCAAAAAGGAAATGTGCACACTGCTTCTTTTTGTGCAAAAACCCCTCGTGCAAAAAGAAACAGCAGAAAATATGCTAATGAGTTTGTGATTCATGCAAATTAGTTCCTCATTAGAATATTTTCTGCTCCAAAACTCACAGTATAGATGAAGGCCACAAAATTTATCCTAGCTCTCTAGCAGTATACCCCATTCTTCTATAAGGAATATTTTTGAGATTTGGAAATAACAGCAAATTTGAAAATGGCAGAGATACTTAATGACATCTTCATTTCAGTCTTCAGCAAGAAGTCTGATGATGAAGGAATACCTAACACAGTGACTGCTAGTGGGAAGGGGGTAGATTTAGAAGATAAAATTACAAAAAGAACAAGTTAAAAATTACTTAGAAAAGTTAGATGTCTGAAAGTCACCAGAGCCTGATGAAATGCACCCTAGAATACTCAAGGAGCTGATAGAAGTGGCATCTGAGCCTTTAGCTATCATCTTTGAAAAATCATGAAAAACAGGAGAGTTTCAAGAAGACTGGAAAAGGGCAAATATAGTATCCATCTATAAAAAAGGGAAATAAAAACAACCTAGGAAAATACAGATCGGTCAATTTAACTTCTGTGCCAGGAAAGATAATGGAGCAAGTAATTAAGGAATTCATCTGCAAATATCTGGAAGATAATAAGGTGATAGGTAACAGCTATCATGGATTTGTAATGAACAAATCATGTCAAAACAATGTGATAGCTTTCTTTGATAGGATAACAAGACTAGTGGATAAGGGAGAAGTAAGTGGACGTGGTATACTTAGACTGTAATAACGCATTTGATATGGTCTTGCATTATCTTCTTATTAGGCAAAAATAATTTACATACGGCTACTATATAGTGGGTGCAAATGCAGACATTAGAAATTATAAATGAAGGTGGGATTTAAATATCCCGTGCTTCATTTGCATAATCACGTTATGGCGCTATTTCAGAATAGCACTATTTTGAAATAAAAACGTTGTGTAGATGAGGTTATTTTGAAAGAAAACTCTTCTTCTGAAATAAATGTTAAACCTCATTTTATAAGGAATAAGGGTTATTTCAAAATAGCACCATAACACGATTATGCAAATGATGTACAGGATATTTAAATCCCGGCTTCATTTATAATTTCTAATGTCTGCGTTTGCATCCCTCTATCGAAAGAGGATGCAAGTGTAGACATACCCTCTGAGAGTAGTTATCAATCCTTCTGGAAGAGCATAATAAGTGGGATCCTGCGGTGGTCTATTTTGGGACTTTGGGACTGGTTCTGTTCAATATCTTCATGAATGATTTAGATATTGGTGTAGTAAATTGAGGGTTGGTAACATGGAGTCAGCAGGCCTGAATAAAGGCCCATAAAATGAAAACAGCAACAGGCCAGGAATCTAATGAGCAAGACTTTGGTTCAGTACCATAGCAACTAAGAAAGCAGCCCTATTGATAATTGTGCGATTGTGTAAGTTAGGTTGAGCATGGAAGGATGTAGGGAGGCACTGGGTACAGATTGTAAAGCAGAGGGGAACATGTCAATAAAAAATATCTTGGTACCAAAGACTCCCCAAAAACTAATGTACATACCGACCTAGATCAAAACCAGGTCAAAGTTTACAGTATGAAGTAAGTAATCCCCTCTTCTGCAAGATGAGGGGTGGTAAGTAGGTAACACAGGGTGGCAACCTGGTACATAAAGGAGTGATGTAAGTTGTTTATACATATCTATAAAAGGGCACCACAAAAAGTGAGCACTGACCAAACGGGGGAGGGGGTGTATGCACCTGGCACATGAAATGGCAGCTGTCATTGTCAAGATTTACAGAATGCACAGTGGCTTACTGTTGAGATTGTCTGCTAACCACTGTTAATATCTATCATTTGGCAATAGGCCTACTAAATATCAGTACATTGTCAATGCTTGCAGAATGCACAGTGGCTTGCTGTTAAGACTTTCTGCTCACGACTGTTAATGCATAGCATTTGGCAATAAACCTATTTGATTGGTTTCATCCTTGCCTGAATCAGATGTTTCCAGGGGCTCTCAGAAGTCTATTGTGTTGACCCAAGTGGATGGGATTTAATGCTTCAGATAAAGGGAGCGCACGCACGCAGCTGGAAGTTTATCATCACCGACGGCGTAGAAGACCTGTCAGGAAAGCACCAGTAGAACCCGAAAACTCTGACAGAAGACTATTTGCACAGAGAGTAATCTTATTAAGTTTGCAGATGATACCAACCTGGGAGGGGTTACAACTGCTTTGGAGGATAGGGTCATAATTCAAAATTATCTGGACAAACTGGAGAAATGGTCTGAGGTAAATAGGATGAATAAGGACAAATGCAAAGAACTCCACTTAGGAAGGAACAATCCGTTTCACCCATACAGAATGGGAAGCGGCTGTCTAGGAAGGAGGATGGCAGAAAGGGATCTAGGAGTCATAGTGGACCACGAGCTAAATATGAGTCAACCCCTGATGAGTGATGCTGTTGCAAAAAAAGCAAACAAGATTCTGGGATGTATTAACAATAGTTTGTGAGCATGCTTCCACTTTATTCTGTGTTGATTATGCCTCAATTGGTGTATTGTGTCTAGTCCTGGACACCACATTTCAGGAAAGCTGTGGAGAAATTGTAGAAGGTCCAGAGAAAAGCAACAAGAATGATGAAAGGTCTAGCGAACATGAGCTATGAGCAAGGCCGGATTAAGACCTTTAAAGGCCCTAAGCACTGAAAAGATTATGGTGCCCCCCCATATGTAATTTAAAAAAATACTATACGGTAAAATCTCTCTTTTTTTTGGTGCCCCTGCTTTGCTGGTGCCCTAAGCATGTTCTTATTCTGCCTATTGGATAATCCAGCCCTGAGGAAACACTGAAAGAATTGGGCTTGTTTACTTTGGAAAGGAGAAGACAGAAAGTGAACATGATAGCAGGTTTCAAGTATCTAAAAGGGTATCATAAGGAGGAGGGAGACCAATTGTTGTCCTTGGCTTTTGAGGTTAGGACAAAGAGAAATGGGCTTAAATTACAGCAAGGGAGAATTAGGTCGGACATGATGAAAAACTTCCTAACTCTCAGGTTGGTTAAACACTGGAATAAATTGCCCACAGAGGTTGTGGAATGTTCATCACTGGTGATGTGTAAGAGCAGATGAGATAGGCCTCTATCGGCATGCTCTGGAAGGTGTTTGTTTCTGCTGTGGGGGCAGGGGAATGGAATTGATGATCTCTCGAGGTCCCTTCCAGTTCTAGTATTCTATGATTCTATGATGTCATATTTCTAAATTCAGGATGAACTTTTAAGGGCCTGATCTAAAGTCCACTGGTGCCAAAGTCTTTCTATTGATTTAAGTGGGAATGTAATCAGGCTTCAATTGCACCTATTGTATGTTCACAGCTGATGACATGTTTGAGTGACTGTTCAGACATCTTTCCTCAGTTACCTTTTTCCTGATGGAATGTATTTGCAAAGGAATAACAACACAAATGTCTGGAAGCATGCACAGTCCCTCTAACAAAGCTATTTCTGAAACATGAGTTAAAATTTCAATTTGATTTTTGATAGCTGTAACAGGCTCCTCTATTTTACACACCAGCTATAAGAGCAGAATATGTAGCCCACACTGAAACTCACCCATCTTTTCCATCTGGGCTTTTTCTGAAAAACAAAAAAATAATTATTTCAATATAAAACAACCTTAAAATATGAATAGTCTTGTAGCACTTTAAAGACTAACAGAACATGTAGATGATGTCAATTCAAAACAAAAACATTAAAAACAAGCAACAAAAAAACTTTGAAAATATCTATTCAAGTGCACCAAAAATCTTCAGTTGACAAAAGATTTTCTTACATTTTCTTACATTTTTCTTTTTGATTGAACCATTGTGTCTCATTGTCTTAGAGATAGCCCCTCTCCTTCTTCCCATTTGTCGCAAATAAGATTAGATTGAGTATTTATACTTAACCAATGTCACTAGTAAGTACTAAGATCCAGAAATCTACTCAAGTTCTTGTTTGATTGGTTTTAGGATGCTACAGCAAACAAATCAGTTTATTATAAAAATGTCTTGGCCATAAAATTTTCCTCTTGGGTAGGTTTTATCTTTAAGCTAGTGGAGACAAATATGTCAAGATAAAATTATACTCTATTGGTAAATGAAGAAACTTGTTTTCTTCTAGTATAAGATGAGGTGTGAAAGAATAAAATCTAGCAGTTTTAAAAATTTTAAGGACATAATGACTAGAAACAAAAAGTTCAGTTCACTAACTTCAGAGCATAATTTGTTTAATAAATCAAATAGTTGTAATGCAAAACTTTTATATGTATCCAGCAAATAAGGAAGATCTATAAGAATAAGAATAAGAATAAGAATAAGAATAAGAATAAGAATAAGATAAGGGGGATGGATTACCCCAGTGGTCCCCAACGTTTTGGGGCTGCCGGGCGCCTGGGGGCAGGGCCGCTCACACGCCACGCATATGGGGGCGAGGCTGCTCACGGGGCCAAGCATGCGCCGCATGCCCGGGGCCGGCACCGGCATGTGCTGCGACCCCAGACAGGG